ATAAAGAAGGGGAATCGGGAGTGCGAGCGGATTCTGCATGACGTGGAAGTGCTCAGCAGCCTGGCTGTGGCTCAGGACTCAGCGTTCCAGTACCCTGCCAGCCAGCTCCAGCAGCTCTGGAGGTGAGGGAGCACTGCTGGTGCTGGGGCAGAGCTCAGTGCTGAGCTCTGTGTGTGTGCACAGCCCCTGCCATAAACTTTCCTACCTGGGAAGAATTTGCTGCTCTGCTTGGTTCTTCTGCTGGAAGATAGCTCCAAACCCTCACTGCTCTGCTGTCTGGAAGCTTCATTTCCTACCAAAGCTTCTTCCTCCCCCATTCTGGCTTGTTTGAGCTTGTGCAACAAGGTATCTCATAGCCCTGAGGGGTAAAAACAAATAGCTCTTACTGCCCCTGATTGTGGTTTACTGACAGCTGACAGGCCCTAACAGGAAGGGATTTAAAGGATGCTGTGGAAAAAATCCTTTTCTCTCAAGTGCTGGGTAATGGGGGAATAAGGAACAGTTATTAAGTTTGCCTGTCTTGCAAACAGGGCGCTTGTTTGAGAGAAGAGCTTGTTCTAAGCCAGCACAAATCCGGTGTTCTCTGCCACTTTCTTCCCTGGTTTCTGCTCTCTGTGTTAGGTTACTGCTGCTCAACCAGTTCCACGATGTCCTGCCAGGCAGCTGCATCCAGCTGGTGGTTGAGGATGCCCTGCAATACTACACAGGTGAGCAGGGAGTTTGGCTGGGAGGGCGCTCACCTGTGGCAGCAGCTCCTGCCTAGTGGGGCTGGGGAGGCTCCAGCCCTGGGCTGCCAGGGCCAGCTCAGCAGGCATGTCTGAAATGGTGTTAGATTAGCAGCCAAGGGATTGAGAACCATCCCAATTTATTGGCTTTTCTGCTTGCTGCTGGCATGCCGGGATAGGCTCCCAGCAAGGTTTGTTTCTGCCTGCCCAGGGGTGCTTGCAGGAGCTTCAGTAACCAGAATTTTCCAGCCGAGCTGGCACAGCTCATTGTAATCTTGTAACAACAAAGTTCGGAATAATTATACACTTGAATCGATAATGGATAATAATAGTTAATGATAATTAGCAATTGTAGCTTGGAAGGAGATGAAGTGTGTGTACATTTGCACGGGGAGTGCCAGAAGCTCTCTCAGAGCCAACTCAGGCCCTTCTGTTGCCCAGAGATCCGCAGGGCTGGTGCTCAGCTGCAGGAGGAGGCTGTGCAGGTCCTGTGCAGGCATCTGCTGCAGCCCCAGCCCTGCAGCACCCACAGCTCCCTTGTGTTGAACACCTTGGCCTGGGAACGCACCGAGGTGATCGCCAGCCCTGGACCAGATGGAACAGAGACTTTGGGTATGTCTGACCTGGAGTTCCTAACAGGGAAATGCTCTGCCTTATTGATTGTTCAATTTGTTCTTTGGACAGCTTGAAAGGGGATGAAGTGCTCTGAATATGCATGAGGAGGAGGAGGGTATGGGAGGAGGCGGTAGATCTGACATGACAGCAGCAGGGCAGCAGTGGTGTCACTTAGGGTTCATTCTGGGGCGAGTGTTGGAGCAGAACTGTCACAGATATCTTCTATGGAAAATCCCTTCCTTAGGATTTTTCCTCCTGAGAAGCTGAGAGGCCTCAGGAACAAAATGTAAACATTGGTTATCTGCTGCTGTGGAATGCAACAGGTGCATCTGATTGCCCCCTGTTGGATGTTTGTAATTAATGGCCAATCACACCCAGCTGGCTTGGACAGAGAGCCGAGCCACAAACCTTTCTTATCATTCCTTCTTATTCTATTCTTAGCTAGTCTTCTGAGGAAATCCTTTCTTCCATTCTTTTAGTATAGTTTTAATGTAAAATATATCATAAAATAATAAATCAAGCCTTCTGAAACATGGAGTCAGATCCTCATCTCTTCCCTCAGCCTGAGACCCCTGTGAACACGGTCACACAGAACCTCTTTTCTTTCCAGCTCTGGTGACAGTCCCCAGCATGGGCTATGCCCTGGTGCAGGAGCCATTTGAGCCTCCTCAGCCTGTGGCAGTGAGGAAACAGGTAAGCACAAGGCAGATTTCCTCAGGTTCCCCACATCAGAGGTTGTTTGAGGAGAAATCAGGGTTAGGGTTGAAAGGAGGAGAAATCTCAGGAATCCACATGTTAAATTTGCATTGGAGGCACGGAGCTCCCACAGGTGTGGGTGTGTGACACCTGTTTCTGGCCTTTTCCCAAGGAGGATGGCTCCATTACCATGGAGAATGGGGTCATTGCTGTCTGCCTGGACACCATGGGGCGCCTGACATCGCTTCAGCTGCTGGACTCAGGGAGGTCTGTGTCACCCAGTTCCTGGCCCTGAGCTCCTCAAACCTCTCCCAGGACTTCTCACTGTGCTCCTTTCTCCACTGCCAGTCCTTTTGATGCTGCTGTTCCCCTGTTCCACTTTCTTTCAGAGAGTCAATCCCAGATGGCTGCTATGCCAACCAGTTTGCACTCTTTGATGATGTTCCCCTCTACTGGGATGCCTGGGATGTGATGGATTATCACCTGCAAACCAGGTAGAGGAGCAGTGCATGCAGCACTTGGATTTTGGGTTTGCCCTGAGATTCCTGCCTCCCTGTCAGTCCTAGCTGTGGGAGAGAAGTGAGTGCCTGCTGCATTGGGATTTGGATCTACCAGGCTGACACTATCTCTGCCTTCCTTCCTCTCTCTAGGAAGCCAGTGACCACACTGCTGCAGCCTCTGGAAATCACCCTGGCTGGGGGCCTGCGGGGAAGTGTGAGCTTCTCCCTGCAGGTGGGGAAAAGCAGCACCTTAACCCAGGAGATCATCCTGGATGCCACGTGCCCCTACCTCCGCTTCCTGACCCAGGTTTGGCCCGTGGCTACTGTGTGACACTGACACCCTGTGCAGCTGGGAGCTGGGGAGCTGCACCCTGGTACTGGATTATATCCCCCCTCCCTGTATTCTTTCCCTGGAGTCCCCTGCTTGAGCAAGCAGCCCAAGGCTGGGGTCCCAAGGGCCAGGAGTGGAGGTGGGACCCACCAGTTGATCCGTGTTGAGACTCTGGTGTGTTTTTGTTGTAGCTGGTGTGCACTGGCTGCTGCACACCAGGACATGAGAGGTGCAGTGTGTGCCTGTCAGTCCCCCATGGTGACAATCCTTCTGCTGCCACATTTAGGTGGAGTGGAAGGAGGCCCACAAGTTCCTGAAGGTGGAGTTCCCCGTGCAGGTGAGGAGCACGAACGCCACCTATGAGATCCAGTTTGGGCACCTGCAGCGGCCGACGCACTGGAACACGTCCTGGGACTGGGCTCGCTTCGAGGTGAGAGGGAGCTGCCCTTCTCCTGGGGCTGCTCCTGCTGCAGGCAGTGCCCCCTGTGTGCTGAACACCCCTTGTGCCTGCTCAGGTGTGGGCTCACAAGTGGCTGGATCTCTCTGAGCACGGCTTTGGGGTGGCTCTGCTGAACGACTGCAAGTACGGAGCATCGGCCCACAGGAACGTGCTCAGCCTCTCCCTGTGAGTGAGGGCTGGGTGGGTGAATGAGGGGGGCTGCTGGGGCACTCTGCCTTCTGAGGGGTCCCTTGGAAATCAAGGCAACACCTGCTCCTAAATGACCTCAGTTACAGCAAGGAGATAGTCTGGTGGGTGGCTGTTCTCTGAGAATTTGGCTGACTTAAATTTTAGTCAGTTAGAACTAATTCCTGTGAACTGTGCTCAAAGATAATTGAGGAAAGATCAGACTCATATTTGTAGCAGGTAGCTTTTGTGTTGCTGACCAGGAAGGGAGGCTTGAGGAGAGGAAAGGAACAGGAGTGTCAATGTTATGGGTGCATACAAAGCTAAAACAAAATGCCTACTTCAGTTTGACTTAGTGAGCTGCAATTTTCATGGATGACACTCCAGTTTTTTAGCTTCTAGAGCTGTCCAGGGTCTGTTTGCTGTTGTGTGTTTGCTTCCACGTCAGGGCCCAGCTCGAGGTAGCACAGGAAGCAGATGTCTTGTCACAGTGCTCTGGGTGACACTGGGTGCTGCCAAGGCACCGGTCTCACTAACCTCACCTGGCCTTAGGCTGAGAGCCCCCAAGTCCCCTGATGCCACGGCAGACATTGGGCACCACCAGTTCACCTATGCTGTGATGCCTCACCAGGGTGAGTGACAGAGCTGTGCCCCGTGGGGACAGGCAGGATGGCAGCTGCTCCAGAGAGCCTTGGGGTGAGCGTGCCCCTGGCTGTGTGTGTACAGACACTGACCACAGAGAGTTCTTGTGCTGCAGGCTCCTTCCAGGAGGCCGGTGTGATTCAGCAAGCCTACAACTTGAATTTCCCCCTCCATGTGGTGCCAGCCAGCTGTGCCCAGTGCCCAGCCTGGAGTGCCTTCTCTGTCAGCTCCCCTGCCGTCGTGCTGGAGGCTGTCAAGCAGGCAGGTGCTGGGTACAGGAGGGGAGGCAGAGCTGTTGTTGAGCAGGGTTTGCTCTTTGGTGGTCAGGCTCAGCTGGGCACAGCAGCCTGTGCTGGAGGGGCTGTGCCTGTCTCATCTGTCTGATCTCATGTGTCTGGACTCCCCCAAGGCTGAGGACAGGCCTGAGGCTGTGGTGGTTCGTCTCTACGAGGCCCATGGCAGCACAGTCACTGCCTGGCTCCAGACCCCCTTCCCCGTGAAGGAGGCGATGCTGTGAGTGCAGGCAGGAGGGCGGGGGGTGGGTGGGGATGGAGATCAGTCCTTCAGCCTTGTGCTTTGTCCCCAGCTGTGACCTCCTGGAGCGTCCCCTGGTGCAGGGCCGCCTGCCCCTGGAGCAGCAGGGCCTGAGGCTTTCCTTCACACCCTTCCGAGTGCTCTCCGTGCTCCTGGTCTGGAGCCACTGACCCCAGACATCGTCCCTTGCTGGGGCTGCAGCACTTGGACCAGCCCTGGGAGCTCAAATCACAGGCTGAGCTGTTCCCCGTGCCAAGAGCTGTGCAAGGCAGCAGCTCCAGGGCAGGGCACTGCCCCTCTGTCCTGCACCCAAGTGTTGGAAAGCAGGAATTGAACAATCCTGCTCCTCAGGGAAGGAGGGCAGCTGCCCACTGCCCGACCAGGGTGGGTGGTCTTGAGTGAGTTCTGAGCTCATTTAAGTGTGGACAAAGATGCAGACGGGCTGGTGGCCCCTGCTCCTGCTGTAGAGGTTTGGGGACCAGCAGCTTCTACAGTGACTCCTGTGTCACAGCCTTCATCTTGTCCAGCAGTGTGTAAAAACAAACTCCACTCCTTCCCTTCTCCCCCTGCCTGCCCTTTGCACTGCCCTTGCAGAAGAGGAAACAAAAAAATAATCAAGAGAATTACATAAAAAACAAGCTGCAGCCTGTTTTATTAACCTGTTTCCAGGTAACTGCACTGACCTGCCTCCTCCCAGGTGTTTGCTGTAGTTGCTCTTTTAGTGTCTGCCTGAGCAGGACCTCACACCTGGCACTGGGGAGGTTGAACTTACCTTTATTTTGGGGGGATGAGGCGGAGGGGAAGCCTGCTCCAGCCCCTGTGGAGAAGAGGCTGGGCACAGAGGGATTTATCCTTTACATGAAAAGGCATGCACAGTGATTTCTACACAAAATACTTTATTAGTCAGCTAAAAACAGTGATTTGGTCAGCAGCCAGAAAGGGAGGAGGGAGAGGGAAGAGTCAGAGTCCAGTACAACATGTGGACCTGACCCTTTTTTCCCCTGAAATGCCTGTGGACAGCAGGAAAAAGCCCCATCACCAGGCTCAGCTTCTCTCTCCCACACTGGCAGGATGGCACAGCAGCAAATAAGTGTGAGCACAGGTGGGGAGCAGCTCCATTTCCACTAGCACTAACCCTGGTCCATGGCCAGGCCCTGCCTCAGCTCCTCTTGGCCCCTCAGGAGGTGGCAGCAGGTGACACTCACACAGCAGGGGCTGCACCTGGAGAACAAAGAGGGGAAATGGAGTCAGAGGGCAAAAGGGGTATCCAGCTCTGCCCCATGGGCTCCTCTCCTTGCCCTCTGTCTCCTTGCCACCAGGGAGCTCTCCCAGAGCCCCCAGGGGTGCACAAAGGCACTGCCAGGCTCACCTGTGCCCCTGCGAGCGGATGCGCGGCGGCTTCTCCTGACACGCTGAGGCACCTCAGGCGAGGCTGGGGCAGCACTCGCTGTCCTCCTCCCACGGGCACGTCCCTTCCTTGGCCTGCCAGCCTGCTCCTCCTGCTCTTCCTTCACTTCCTTCTCCTCCAGCTTTGGGGGTTTCGCTGCAGCCCTGCGGCGCTGCTTCGGGGCACGGGGGGTGACCTGGGTGAGTGTCAGAGCTGGAGATGACCAAGGTGGGGAACTCCGTGTGGGATCATTACCATGGACAGGGCAGGGGCGGCAGGACAGCCAGACACAGCCACACAGCTGCTCACCTTGGGGCTCGGTGCCTCGGGCTCTGCCTTCAGCTCTGGGCTCTTCCTGCGGGGCGCCTTGCGGGGTCTCTGCCCTGCACCAGAGATGAGGGGTGAGGAGAGGGTGAGGCAGAGCCTGGAACAGCATCCCACGTGCAGGGATGCTGCTCTGAGTGAGGATGAAAAACCAGCTGCCCCCAGGCAGGTTTGGATGCTGGTAAGAAGCCTTGGGGACAAATGGCTTCTGTCCCCTGGTGCCAACGGCTGTCACAGGAGTGTCAGCACCCCAGAGAGAATGGCTTTGCTGCAGCCTGTGTCCCTGTGCTTTCCTAGGAGCCCTCCTGGAGCAGGTCCCACAGGAAGGGGAGAGGAAACTCACCTTTGGGAGCCATGGGGCCAGGCTCTCCCTGTAAGGAAGGGACAGAGCATTGGCTGGGGTGCAGTCATTCTGCAGGCAGCATCAGCAGAATCACTGCCCCTTCTCCATCCTCCAGCCACTGCAGTGACAGGGAAACAGCCACATTTCCCTGGGAAGACAGGGGAGTTGGGCTTGCTCTGCCTGCCCTTTGCCTTGGGGACTCTGCCATTATTCCCTGTACCTGCAAGGCCCCAAGCACAGGGCCTAGGAGGGAAGAACAGGGCTGCCAGAGCACCCAAACACCCCCTCTTCCCTCCATCTGCTGCAGATTGCCCACCATCCATTAGCTGGCTGCCCACCACAAAGGAGGTCCTTGTCACCCCCCATGCCCAGGAGCTGGATGGAGAGGGGGACCCCCAGGCACACAGAGCAATGGGAGTCTCAGCAAGCAGAAAACAGGCCAGTGTCCCCTTGGAGGAGTGGTTTGGGGGCTCCCAGGCTCCTACCTGGAACCATATGGTCCTGCCACTGCGGTCCCGCAGGGAGCTCATGCCGGGCACCAAGTAACACTGCAGCCAGTTCTTAAAGTTGGAGTAATTATCTGGGTGCTCGGGGTCCAGGAGCTGCTTCTCTGGGAGGGGAGACAGGGAAAGGACAGAATCAGAGCAGAAGCTGTGATCACCACGTCAGGGTAGCCCCCCCAAACCTCCTGACGCTGAGCCTGCCAAGCCCTGCCCTCCCTGCCAGCCCCGTCCCCTCACCTGCCATGATCACCTCCATGGGCACGCTGTGGCACAGCTCCAGCAGATCTGGGCTCTCCTGCCTCAGCTTCACCTTCTTGCTCAGCGTCAGGGAAGGATCCTGCAGGCATGGAGAAGGGCACAGAAGTCACCTGCCAGCTGCCTCTGCTTCCTCAGCTTCTCTCCTCCCGTCCTCTTCCCCATCTCTTGCTCTCCAGAGGATGAGCTCTCCACACACAATAGCCCTGAGCTCATCACACAGTAGCCTTCCAACTTAGCTACAAAGCCATGAAAGAGGGCTAACACACAAAAACACCAGCAGCAGGTCGTGTAGTGTAGTTTTCAGGCTTAAAATAGCCACTTCCTCTTCCCTGAGGCCACAAGATCAGCCTTGGGCTTTACTGCAGCCTTGGGCTTTACTGCAGCCTTCCCCTCGGGGATTTTAAGTTTACAAGGTGTTTGTTTCCCTCACCTCTTCCTCTCCACCCACCCCAAAACCACTTATAGACTTCCTTAGGGCAGGAAGCTCATCAAGAAGGGCCACGGGCAACCAAACCCCTGCCTTTGGCATCTGTCTGGAAACCTGCTGCTTTCTGAGCCTGTGAAAGCACCTGGTGCTCCCCACCTTCTTCCTCCTCTCCTGCTCCTGCTCCTTCAGGGCCTCCAGCACGGTCCGAGCTTTTTCAAAGGGAGGGATCTTCAACCTGAGAGAGTTACACAAAGAAGGTCCTTGTCACCCTTTTTCTTCAACAAAAGAAAAACATGTAAGCAACAGTAGTAGAAGCTGCTGTTGTCCACAACAATCTATTATTTTGAGGCACACGTTTTCATGATAGGTTTCAATGTCTACTTGGTATATTTCATTTCAATTCCGCATTTTAGGAAAAATGCATTCCCTCAACTCCCACCCACTTCCTGTACCCCTCTACTGCAGTTCCCTGGTTCTTTGCCCTGATGGCTCTTTCTAACTCTAGCTACATTTAATTCCTACACTCAGGAGTGGGAAACTTAGTCCTTCTCTCACAACTACAGCATGACATAGAGTTGAGGCACGTTTTAATTAAAAGACAAGACTGGTAAACAAATGTTCATAAGGAGCAGATTGTCTAATAGAATTTACACGGTTTCTATGAATTAGGCTATAAACCCCAAAACTACATAAAACTATGTAGTGGGTACTCAACCCACCTTACCTGTACAGGATCTCAGCACGCAGGTAATTCCCAATTCCATTGAAATACTTCTGGTTTAAGAGCACCTCACAGATGGGCTTATCAAAAGCCCTGTCCTCCAGGTTCTTCAGCACATTCTCCCTGCAAGCGAGCACGGGCCATCAAGAAGAGTCACCCGGACATGTCTGTGCAGGGAAAGCGGCCAGACCCGAGCAGGGGCATTCCTGGGGCGCTCACCTGAACGCCTGGTACTCGGACACCACGCAGGGCCCGCGCTCCGGCTGCCAGGCGTCCCCCAGGCGCCAGGACCCGAAGCGCCGAGGGTCCACGAAGCAGAGGGCGCGGGGAGGGCTCTCCCGGGTCAGGAAGCGCAGGTGGGCATGGCGGGGCAGCTCGGCGGCGGGGCACAGCCGGAACGAGCCCGACATGCCAAAGCGGAACACCAGGTCCTGCGCGGGGGGACCGGCGGCGGGGTCCAGCGCGCTCAGCGTCAGCCGCAGCTCCTTGCCCCGGGCTGTGGCCGAGATGCCGTAGGCCTCGCTGCGGAAGGGCACCTCGGGGCCGCGCCCCACGGCCGAGCGCTCCACGCCGCCCGCGAACACCAGCGCCCCGCAGGCCCCGTTGATGAAGCGCCCGGCCAGGTGCAGCTCCGGGCACTCGGGCATGGTGGCGGCCGCACGGCACGGCCCGAGTCCACCGCCACTGCCACCGCCGTGGCACGGCCCGCCCCCATTGGCTGCGCGGGGCGCGGGGAGCGCTCCCATTGGCTGAGGCGCAGGCGCTGCGCGCTCCCATTGGCCCCGCGCTGATCCCGGAGGTCGGTGCCCTGCCGGGGCGGTCCCGCCGCGGGTGGAGGTTGCACAACGCGGGGCGACACAGCGGGACACGGCTCAGCTTTGTCACCGAGACTTTATTGGAGCTGCCCGAGGAGCCTCGGGAGCCCGGAGGGAAGGGAAACGTCCTGCTCCGCAGCCAGGAGCACCAATCTGGACTCCCAGCTCAGTGTTGCAGTCTCCCGCCGTGGCTGGGCTCCTTTCCTGGCTCCTCAGAGAAGGGTGTTCATCAGCGCCTGGGCCTGCTTCAGCTCTGCAGAGAGATGTGGAGATGTAGGGGAGCTACTGGTACTGCAGCATCCCTTCCAGCATCCCATTCCCAGCGTGCCTCCCACAGCAATTCCCCCCTCAGAATCCCCCACGGAGGTCCCCACTGCCACCCCTCGTGGTGCCTCACCTGCCAGCAGCACCCAGAACTTGTTGGCCGAGAGCGTCACAGGGACAGCCGTCATCTTCTCACACTCTCTGTTGCGCACGTTGAAGGTGAGGTGCACCACGGGCTCATTGACCTCCTGCAGCTCGCTGGAGCTGAGGGTGTAATCCACCCGCCAGCGCACCGAGCCCAGCTGGCTCACTAGGGTGGGCAGTGGCAAGGTGTCAGCACCTCGGCTCTCTCCAGCAGGGTGACCCCAAACCCCCAGCACCCCACTCACATCGCAGGCTGCAGGCCCTGAGCCTGTCCTGGAGGGGGCTCTGCTTCTCCTCATAGGAACGGCACAACCCGCTGGCATGCTCTGCTCGTCAGGGGACACAAGGGAAAAACCCCTCTGCTCACACCAGACCTGCAGCTGCCAAACCCCCCAAAGGACCCCAGGGACCGACAGCACACAAGGGAGGTGATGGGGACAGCACAGCAGCCAGCCTGCCCTCCATCAGGGTGGGAACTGCCACCCTCAGGGTTTTCCCTACCTTTGGGCAGTCCCAGCTGCTGCAGCTCGCTTGACAGAGACTCACTGTCTACATTGTGCTTGGCTGCACTGGAGATGATGAAGCCGAGGACAGCAATGGTTGCCTTCACATCCCCTGACTCTGCAGACAGGAGGGAGGGCGAGCTCTGTCACCTTGGGAAGGCATCCCCAGATCCATTGCTGCCCATCCCTGCAGCGTGGCTCCATCGGGGGATCCTGGTAAGGACAGCAGTGCTCACCTAACTTTGCATCTGAGGTCAGCTTCAGGATCTTGTCATACTGTGAGAGAGCAGAGCATCACGGTGAGCACCAGCTAACACGCTCACACCAGTGTTAACACTGACAAGTCTTACCTAAACAATACTAATAACACTTACTATGCATATTAGTACTACTAGTAGAGGCCGGTAGCGTTCTTAACGCTGAGGCTTGCATGAAGAACAAGAGATTAATTAACGTTGCTGATTATGCCATTGTAGCGCTGGCCTCCACTGCGGTACCCCATACTTACCTCGATGGTCTCCCCCAGCAGGTCCCGCAGCACCTGGGCGCAGATCAGCTTCAGCTTCACCGAGGACTGCGGGAGAGAAAGGAGAGTGAGCAGCGGGCCCGCAGCAGGCGGGGCGCGGGCAGGGGACACGGGGGGACACGGGTGACACTTAACTATTTTGGCCAGGGTGCTGATCTCGGCCAGCACCCAGTCGGGGCAGTCCAGGTCCCCGCAGAAGCGGAAGCGCTGCGGGAGAACAGGCGGTCAGAGCCGGCAGCGGGCTCCGCACGCCCTCCCCGCTCCCCGCCGCCCAACCCCTCCCCACCATGTCGCCGCCGCTCCCCGGTCCGCGCCGCTACGGCAGAGCCGCCTTTCCGACCCGGAACCACTCCCGGGCCGCTGCCCGCTAGCCGCTCCCCGCCGGGGCTCTCCGGTAGGGACTCAGCAGGGCCTTTTGGCCGGGACCTGGCAGGAGAGCGGCCGGAGGACGGGACGGGGCTCCCGGAGCGGCACCCGAGGCGCCCCCGGCCCGTCCAGCAGCGCGAGCTCCGCCCCACCGTCACCTCTCGCTCCCACGGGCCGCGCCTCACAGCGCCCCGCCCGCGTCCAATCACAGCTGTCAATCCCGGGCCGCCTTTCTCCACGCTGTCCAATCACAGCCGCCCATTCAGTCCGGTTGCGGTCCCGCCCAGCCCAGCCCGCGCAGGCGCAGTCCCGCCCAGCCCGGCCCCTCAGACGGCCCTGAGGGGAGCGGAGGCGCCGCCTCAGCCCCCTGCTCGCGTTCGCACCTGAGGCCGCAGAACCGGAGAGGAAATGTGGCGTTCGGAGCCGGGGCTGAAGCTTTACCGGGGCCTCGACCTGAAATAAAGATCGTGTTGTGGTGCACAAGCAGCTGCCCCTGGCCGCAGGGGACCCCAGACAATCCCTTTGAACCGAGAATGCACCCATGTCACTGGCCAGTGAGCTGGGCAGTTATGATCTTTATCCACTCATGTCTGTAAGGGCAGGACATTCAAAGCCCCTATGAAAGGGGGTGCACTTCAATAGGTGTTGGCTGTTCGTGCATGAACCTCGGTGTGTGTTTGTCACATTCCTGTCTCCACCATCAGTGACAGTCCCCTGTTTGAACTTAAATCCAACCTATCACTGGGGACTTGTTTACTTCTCTCTTCTAACAAGCTAGGCTGGCTGAGTCCGTGTCTGTTAGGCCAAATTTCCTGTGCAGCTCTAGGCCAGCTGTAGCTGTCACTGCTCCCTCTTTCTGTTCTAAAACATGCAGGGTGTTCTCTGTCATCCCTCTGCAAGGGCCCTCTGCAAACAGGATAACAGGACAGAGTGGTGACACAAAGGATTCTGCCCAACTCAACAAACCTAGGATCTCTCAGCCAGGGATGTATCCCTTGTACCAATGAAGTTGTAACATTAATTCCCGGGAGCTGTCAGGTAGGATCACCAAAAATACAAGCTTTCAAATTGGTATGCCATAGGCATGGGAGGTTACAAACTTATAACTTGACTCTATGAACTGGAAACATTTTAACTTTAGAACTATGAGAATATAACATGGAAAACAACTTGTCAGCTTCAGGTTTTGACTCAAATATATAAAATACTCAAGACCTCATATTATAAAATCTTTGCGTCGTTTGAATAGGTAAAATCCTTAAACAAACTGTCGTTTCAGAAGGTCTCAAATCTCCATGTAAGAGGTGTAGAAGTTGTTAAAATCACTGGTCATGATATCTGCTGAGGGACCATCAGGAGGGTGCTGTCTCTGGTGCCCAGCAGGATGTAGGGCAGGGCAGAAACACCTGGCTGGTGTCCATCCTGTTCTGGTGTCTGTGGAAATGCACCCATACCCACATCCCCATGGACCTTCCCTCCTGTTTGTGAGAATGTCTTTTGTCATTGCTTTAGGTGATTGGGCATCACTTGATGACTGTAATGATAGCAAATGGGTTAAGATAACTGGGTTTTGGGATTGTTCTGGTCCTCTTAAGTGATTCAGTGTGTAAACAGCTTTTGCTACTCTGCTCTGTGGGTGTTTTCTTCCATTAGATGAACTGCACAATGGAGCTTGGCATTGCACTGTGCAGCTTTTCAGTCCAAGAGTACTTAATCTCTGGAGCCATCAGGATAATGGATTTAAAGCATTTTCTATATGATTAAATGTCATAGCAGGCAGAGGTGGTAGAGGGCTGTGACCTTCCCAGAGAAGCATCTTTAAAAACACCTCACCATGACTAGGGAGGTTGTTGCTTAAGGGTTGTCCCTCCAAGGGAGTATGGTAAGCTTCTCCTCAGACAGTTTACCAGCCTCCACAATTAAATATGTGAAGGAAAAGTCTTGAAGTTTCAGTAACTTACTATACAAAATAGCTATACAAAAACTTATAAAGATCTAATGCAAAGATTAGCTTCTAAATGTAAAAAAATAAATCTTCTTAAATTAAACATGAAGGGGAAAGGAAATACAGACTGATTTATGTTCTCCAAAAGGAAGGTGTCAGAATGCCCTTTGGTAATGGAATTTCCTCTGCCTGTAGACATTTCTGCACAAAAGTCTTCAAACGTGACAAACAGCCCATCTGGCCCGAGCTGGTCACAGCTTCAATTCTTGGGATATAGGATTTCTGGATGAAGAGCATTATTTTCCAGAACTGAATCCCATACTGCCTCATCAGAGCATTGCCACACACCTCCAGGAAATCCAGAAGCAGCACAGCTGTCACATCTGCCAGAGGCTCCAGATTCAACATCTGCGCAAGCCAGCGCCATCCATAGCTCAGACCGTGAGGATGAGCCCCTTGTCCGCTTCCGTACGGCCAGCGGAGCTGAATGATGGCAGCGTAGAGACGAATCATTCCTGACATCCTTTTAAGAAAATGATCTGGTTCCTCCACTTTGGAATCATGGACTTCATATCCAAGCATCCTCTGATACTCTTCCATAGAAGTCCCTTCTTTCCGAGCAGGGTAAAATGGCACAGAATATGGGCACTTTTTGTGCAGATGAGCTAAAAAGATGTCTCCAACTCGAGGGTGTAGTTCCCAGATTCCTGAGAGCACCGCAGCAATTGGGAAAGCTGAATCGTGGTGAAAAGATACTTCTCCTTCCCCATGTCTCACAAACTTCTCTGCAAGTTTGTAACAAACAAACTCCAGCCCCTGTGGATGCTGAGTCACCCACACCGTTTGGCCTTCAGTCTGAACAGGCTTCCCAGACAGCAGGTTATTGATCTTATCAAACACCTCTCTCAGCTGAGAGCCTGATACGCTAGAGATCTGGCTCACAGGGATTGTAGCTGCTTTCTGCAGGTTTGTCTTTATCTTCTTCACCTCAGTGTTACCTTTGCAGTTTCCAATATCGCTGAAAGCAGCAACACATTGCTCAGCAGCATCCTGAAGCTGCCAGTACCACTGCAGGATGCTTCCTTCTGTTTCAACTTGAAGTCCTTCCTTCTGCTGCTTTCCCCACGACTGCTGTGCAGGGACAGAAGTCTGCCACATCATCTGCTCTCTTTCCTCTAACTCTTTCTGCTTTTGTTTCTCTTCCTCT